TCCTAATGTAAACCATGGCCTTTATGTTAGGCCTTAATTTAATCTTGTTTGAAATTCCTTTTTATTAGCAGCTTTAATAAACAGCAAAATGTCTTCAGCACACCAAGTGCTTAATGGGCTGAGCATCATCTACAATACATCACACAAGCAAAACCATTGATTAGGCTTCCTGGAACTGCTGCACTTTACCACATCAGCAATAAATAACACAGAAGGGGAAGTTCCTTCTGTCAGGCAAAATCTTTGTGCAAAAATTAAAATCTTCTGAAATTAATGTGTCTGTTGACAGACAACTAGATATATTTGTGTGTTCTTGTATCTATATCTGCTCAGAAGAGAAGCAAACTATTTATTTTCTGTCTTTGTCTTCTGTGTGCACATTATTAGTATTATTGTTTTAATTACCTACTGAAGAAGAGAATGCAATGTCTGGAACAAAAAGAGAGTTTCATTACATAAATTAAATTGATGTATATAATAGGAAAAACCTTCCAAGTGCCTTTGCCCAATACACCTTTACTTTGACCTCCTAAGATGCAGAAAGCCTCTACTTTTTTAGCTGTAGTTTAAAAACTCTTTCTGCTCAGTCTCCAAGGACACCTCCTCAGCTGTTAGAAATGAAAGTTACTTTTATGAAGTTAATGGCACTGCAGTTATTAACTGCAGCTCATCTGTATAACACGAGGAGCTTCACCAAGGGTGGACACACCACTCAGATCTCCAGAAGATCTCTTGATTATCTGCAGCACGGATCTATAAATTAATCATTCTTTCTTGGGAAAGAAAAGGTTCATTTCTTTGTATTCATTGAAATATTTTTCCCAGGCCCTCTTGTTAGAAGGCATTAGCAGTTGAAGACTGAAAATCTCTTGGGACCAGACTTGCACTGACTTGCTGGCTCCTGTAGAAGTTCTTTATGTGCCACCTCCAGTGGGGCTGTGTTGGTGTGGCTGCCACTGCCCTCCCAATGAGGGATGGAACAGGGACACGTGGCCACGGACACAACTTAGGGATGGCTGCAGAGTGGTGGGATCCTGCCTTGCATGGGGCAGAAGCATGTGGGTGGCCCAAGGAAAGTGGTTGATCAGGGTAGTGTCTGCAGGCATCTTAACTGGACAGGGGAGCTGGGTTATTGATGCTTGTAATACATAGAGCCTTGGTGGGTGAATTATACAGCTACTGTATAATATATAATTATACTGTATCCCTGTGTTGACTGTGATGACAGGAAAACATGTATATTTTTTTTCACTTGAAAATTATTCCTTTATTCCTTTTTCTCAGTTTTTCCTCCTGTTGTCATATTGTTTTGGGGTTTTTGTTTTGGGTTTTTTTTTTTGTGGTGGGTTTTTTTTGGAAGTGATAGGGGTTGCAGTGCTACCTGTTGGAGGATTGGTCTGAGCATCCTTGTCTTCTTGTGCAGCTCTCTGCTTCTGTTAACTCACACTTCCAAACTGCAAGTTGTTTTTTTGACAATTCAAATATTGGAAACAATCTCTAAACTACCAGTGGGTTTCCCAGTCAGTCACTGGTGAAGTCTCCATCCTTTCTCTACCAGCAAGCCAGAGATTTGCCACCTTAAGCAGAAAGGCATGATTGCCATATACCACTTAGGATGGACAAAGACTGCAGCACTAATTAGATTTTTAAAAATGCATGAAAAAACTCCCATGTCCAGGGCATTTACATTTACTTGTTAACAAAGAGGAGCTCTGCCTGTCTAGAACCCTGCACAGGCCCAGGGAGTGGATTTGTCATGGAAATGTCTGTAGAAAAACCACAATGACAGATGCTGGTTTACAACATTAAAATATCTGTATGGATTTCCAAGTGTGGTCCATACAACAGGTTTTATCCAGAATCTGCTGGTTGCCACTGAGGTTGCAAAAGATAAAGCCCTCATTGACTGCAAGGGAAGGCAGAGGTCTGGACATGCTTCAGTGGGAATGTTCAGTGCTTAGACAGAACTGGAGATGAAATTAAAAGCTTTTTTCTTTCTGTGGCCAAACCTTGCTAAAGGTGCTATATAAGTACGAAAAGGAATAGTAAAACCCATTCCTGAAGATTCTTACAGGACTGGGGTGGATATTGCCCATGGAGGAAGGTGCCAGATAATTTTTTAAATCTCTTCCAGCCCTTTGTCCTGTGATTCCTTGACAAGTTTGTTACCCTAAAGTAAGATACAAGTCTCCCATTTGATTGCTCTTGAAAGTACTGTTGGCATTTATTTAAAGTTTCAAACAAGCAGATACTTCCTTTCCTTTTGCTAGTTTTCAATAGCACACCTAGTAGAAATATCCATCCAGTCCCTAATAATAGGATTACCAGGTGGCTAGTATGTATCCTCATCAAAGATTCACTACTTACAAGCAAGGTCATCCAGCTGTTTCAGAGTGGTTCAATATTGAATGTGGTAACATGGAACAAGCATTGACTTGCCTGAGAACTCAGCCACCAAGCCAGAACGGGCAGTGTCACAGTCCTTGCGCAGTTAAGGCAACTGCACTCTTCATTCTCACTATTTTTAGGGTTTGCACATCCCAGTGTGATGGCTGGCAAGCAAAGCTGTGGAGAATGAAGAAGCACAGGGACACCAACAGCTGACCATGAGGAATCTGTGCAGCTTGCTCACATCATCCCTGCATCATGTAGCACCCAGCAACTGCAAGCTATGAGGGAGAGAGTAGAAGTTTTGATCAATTGCCACTTTATACTCTTAGCTAGGAGGCATTGAGGTATATGTGGAGTGGGAGTTTGGTGTTTAAGGAGAACCTGGTTTCTTATATAAGTGAGATGGGATCTGAACTGACTTTTGAAAGTCTCAGGAGTATTGAAGGCAACTGCTTTTCTGAGCATGTGGTAAATAAAAGTGCAAGGAAGAAACTGTTCCCAGCATTAAGTTGTCTGCAAATGGCATTTTATTTTCTGCTGAATTTTTTTTGTATGAATTTTATATTTCATAAGAATGCTCTGTACTTTGCTAAAACTAAGTGATCTCTCTAATACTGGCAAGGTCCTGGCTTTGTTTCAAGGCAAAGGTTCACACAGTTAAATCTCATTAACAGAGGACCACAAAACCTGCACTAAAACCTTTCTTGATGTGTGACCTTCAGCAGAACTGCTTCATTAAGCCTGAGATCTTGAAGAAAATGTTTACTGAATAAAGTCATTCCTAATTAATGTTAAAATGTCAAGGATGCATCTGCCAACCATTTTTACTCCTTTTCCTTTATGCTCTTAATTATCTCTTTAATGAACAACCAATATAAAAGTCACAAGCAGCATCTTTCAAACATGCACACAACAGGTGGGACAATGTAGCAAAGCAAATTTGCCAGACATTTGCTTTCCCATGTAATGGCAACTACCTAAACATCTTTGTGAAACCTCACTTGGATGTTGTCATTATGTATTGAGTATTTCATTTGTTATTTTTAGATAGCAAAACTATCAAGGTTGATTTTCCCTTGTACCCTTTCTAATGTTACCTTGTGTTGTATCTCAAGCCATATGCAAGTCTGAATTAACAAAGGTGTTCATTTGCTTTGTGATGAGTATAATTGTCTGTCTGTTCTTGAAGAATCACTTGCCCAAGAGGGTTTTTTTTTTGTAAAGAAATAAAACAGTCTTTGGTCAGTGTTTACTCTTCAAACTAGAGGGTTATTCTTATTGGATCAAGGGGTCATCACAAGGCCATGTACAAACATGCTGGGTCTGAACTCTGAAAATCCTGTTTTTGCAATGACCAGGGGTAAGACCAGATGTTTCAGCTGCTTAGACTTCAGTGAAGAAGGTTTAGGAACACTCTGCAGCCTCTTTAATTTTTATTCTCACATCAAAGTAATGAGACCTGTCTTCCTGCCCATCAATCTGTACAGCATATGCAAGAACTTCTGCTATGGTTTAAATAGGAATGACTCATGATATTAAGCCTATTAATGAAAATGGATTACATTACTGCCTTTCACAAAATGGGAGGTTTAAAAAGCTAAGTTAGTGTCTTCCAAATGTCAGTGACTGGAGACACTTTGGACAAAGAGTGAATTTTATAGCTATTCTGGATATCTATAAGCTGAAGTCATCTTTGCAATGAAGGATAGTAAAAAATAAGGAAAAGTATTAGAAAATATAAGTGCTTTAAACAGAAGTTCTGTTTCATAAGAATTAGGTTCTGCCAGCCTTCAAAATAATTTCTTATGATGGCAGTCTTGCTTCTTCCTTACATACTTGAACCCTGACGTGTTTTCATTGTAATCTTGCTGAGTATTTTTTCAATTACAACTGCATTATTCAAACCACCAAGAAATCTGTAATCCCAAAATGTATTGAAAACTGGTTTGCAAAAAAAAAAAAAAAAAAAAAAAGGGATAGGGATAAAAATCAACATGGTATCCAAACCACAGAGTCTAAAGCCTGGTGCCTTGTGAGGTCTTACAAAGTTCCAGCACTGCACAACCTATAAAAAGTTGCTATTTCTGTTTATTTCCAACTGCCAAAAGAGCTTAGAAAGGCTAAAAATTGTGTGTCTGGTATGATTGAGCTCTTTTTGGAGGACTAAAGCTCAGTCACTGCAGTTCTCTGCTAGCCCTGGGGGAGCCCCAGTTGTGTTGCCATCGGGCAGACAGGGACCCAAGCTCTGCTGACACGTGCATGTCTGTGTGTCCACACATCCAAGTGCAGGACACAGAGCAGGAGCAGCCAGGCAGCTTTTATTCTATCATTAGTACTAATATGAACAATTTGATGTTTCTTGAGCAAGACAATTATGCTAAATAACATATATTTGGAGTAATTGTTATCAGTTGTGTTCATTTGTGTATATGGCATCATTTAATGACTATTTTTAATTGACATGCATCTGGCATCTTCCCTGTGCTGTGATTAGACTGGGAGTTTCATATCTACACCATTTCATTTATAGCTGTCTAGTAATCTATGTCTAATAACCCTTTTTTCTCTGTTCTTGCCTTTTTTTTTTCTTTTTTTTTCTTTTTAATTAGAGGAGATCTTGAAGACTCATATTGCTCATTGGTGGTCTCCTGATGGCACCAGGTTAGCATATGCAACAATTAATGCTTCCAGAGTCCCCACCATGGAGATCCCAGTATATACTGGTATATACCCTACTGTTAAAACGTACCATTACCCAAAGGTAAGGGAAAATAAACAGTTCTGATGTTCTATCAACCTTTTGTCTTTTTTTATTTCCAGTGGGCTCAGACAGGAGACTGTACAATAGTGCACATTCATAAGCAATGAAAAGAAACAGATCTAAGGGAAGATCAACTATTCCCCAGTGAATGTGGTCTTCATTACTCTTCAGTTACATTTGTAAAATTGCATTTTTCTAATTTGAGTGTCAGTCCTTCTAAATATAATAAATATAAAATTTTAAAATTCTTGCTTTGTACCCACACAAAAGCAATTGTACTACCATGCTAGAACAGAGTTGTTGCTGTCTGAGAGTTTGGAAGCCAGCTTTTCTACTCTTAGATATAGATTATTTTGTACAGAAGGAAAATGTATTATGTGGGCTTCCTTAGAATACCCAGGATGACCTAATGTCAGAGGACATAGAGTGGTTTTGGAGACATGTTGTGCCTGAGCATTACCAAGAGCACAATGAAAGACTGAAAAGATGTAAGAGCAAATCTCTCCTTGACTGCAGAGGCCTCTACCCACTGTGGTTTCCTACAGCACAGAAGTGCACTGTGCTGCAGTCATGGCTTCTGGGTGTCTTGCTTTGTGCACTGGTTACCTAAGACCTCACATGTTGATCCAAATGGAACCATAATTTAACAGGAGAGTTATCCACAGGCATGCAGGTTTTGCAGAAGGTAACAGAGAGTCAGCAGGGGCTGCCCTTTCCTACAGTACAAAATGAATCAGTATTTTACTGTGTCTGCCAGCATCCTGTTAGACAGCCTTTTATCAAAAGATACATAAAAGAGTAATGTTTCTAGTGGCCATTATGCCAAGGCTAGAGGTGTACTAAGTAAAATTACCTCTTGGTTGTGCCTGCCAACCTCTCCACACCTCTGTGCCATGTCACTACAGTCACAATTTTCCTGCAACCAACCACAGCACCCCAGTCCATACCCTCTTACAATGGGAGTGTGTTTTATAATCCTTGGGGACTATAAAATGGGAGATTATACAATGATAAATCAAAATCATTCTGTGTTGTGTGGTATTCTTTTTTTCTTTACATCCAGGTTGGCATGGAAAATCCAACTATTTCTTTGCATGTTATTGGTCTGAATGGACCCACCCATGACCTGGAAATGACTCCTCCTGATGATCAGAGGATGAGGTGGGTGCCTTCTTGTTCTGGGATGCTGGACCCTATTTCTCTCATGGTTTTAAATCAGTCCTTGTGAAGATCATTTCACAGTGCTTTTCTCTGCCACTAGTAAAGGGTTTCATTTTTAATAAACCTGCTTAAAATGTTCCAAATAATTTTTCTTCTTACCTGTACTTTTGTAGAGCATTATTAAGTTTTTCCTACAAATCATTGTGACCCAGACGAACTTCACAGCAGGGTGATTTTTAAAGAGCTTGGAAAAATGTCCCCAAGCCTATAAGGAAACATTCCTTTCACATGTAATCACAGGCATGGTAAAGGGGATGTTGTCTGCAGCCTGTATGAAAGGCTATGATGTACAAAAAGGAACACAGAAAACACAAGCTCAGTGGTTCGTGAGATGGTGACAGGAAAATACCAGGCAGATATTCTTCATCAAAAATAAAAAGAAAATGTCTTTGCTGTTTTTAGGGCAAGTGAGTTTTAGAAGTTGGCCTGCAATTCAGCTAACTGCTTTCACACCCATTTCTATTAAAGTAAGTGCTTAAGACTGCAGTTAGCTAGAGTTTCTAAGTTGGGCTTGGGCATGTCCAAGCATGAGCTGCACTTTTATGGGTCTGCAAACACTTGAAAAGAAGATCACATTGCTCAGGAGAGAAGCAGCTTTAGATAAAACATGTCACTCCTCCCTGCAAAGCTTGGAGATTAGAGTCCAAATCCAGATTTCAGTAACTTTGATTTAAACTTGAAATAGCTTTATAGCAGGCCAAGAGACATCAGACTCTGCTTCTACATCTCAAGCATCCATAGTGACCCCTCCAAATGTAATGCTGCAACGTTATCCTTCCCAGGTACATCACTTGTTATGCTGGAGCATCCAACCGATGTGCATGCTCACCTGGTTTTAATGATTGCTAAACTAGATTGCAGGGTCTGTACTTCCAGTGCCAAGCAAGACAGAGGTGGAGCACATAGCTAAGGAAACAAGGCATCTTGAAGGGCAGGGGAGGGTGCGGGGATAGTCTCCATTATTCATGGTAAATATATCAGGCCTCTGGATAGGCTGTGTAGTCATCTGAGAGGATGCTACATCAGTCGGGTGCTTTATGGTGGGAGTTACTTTTCTTTGCTAGGAAGGTCAGAGTCAGCCTCAGAACATATTTTCATTGAATCACTCTGAAATACTGCACTTCAAATCAATTTATGCAACAAAAGGTGTATGACCTGTGAGCAAACCAAATGGGCTCAACTGCACTTGCCTTTCAAATAAATCACACTCCACATCTGTACACAGCAGGCAGCCATTCAGGGCCACAGTATTCCCATCACAGTATCAGAACAGCAGCTCCTGGACAAGATCATTTTTCTGTTGCTAGCATACTCTGTCAACAGAGAGACTCAACCCATATTTTAATTACAGCAATAACTTCAGACTGCAGGATCCAAGTGTTGTTAATAAATTTGTCCTCTATTGTTATGGGTGGCTGTAATCAATATTGTAAAATGATTATATTAAAAATATAATTAATATATATAATTATATAAAAATATCTACTTATTAATTAGTCTCTGTATATTTCATCAAAACCATGGCAATTTCCATCCCTAGGGCATGATATATGTGGTGCTGCTTGAGCAATAGGGGTGCATTTTCATTATGCATATGTTTTCTGAAATGAGAAGATTACTGTGATAACATTTCATTAAAAAAGACAAGAGGGATGTACTGTACAGTTAGTTACAGAAAACAGTTTCAAAAAAGCAGGGGAAGCTGGTTATCAGGATCTTCAGGCAGAGTAGTCCTATCTGATACATTTCAATGTGCTCAATCTGTTCACACAGATGATATATGGACAGAGCAGTACTTCTTAGTGTTCTTTTTATCTAGAGCAAAGTGTTTTAGTACAATTAATAAAGCTGAGAATAAAATGGAGATATGCCAGGGTCTTTTTTTTTCTTTCAGAATCAAAGGAAGTCAGAAATTTTGCACAGAATTAAAATGTTATCAGCTGAAGAAAAAAAAAATTAGGCTGATGATGGGAAAACATATTTTGGGGGGAAATATACAATTTTGGTATTTTTTCCTTTTAAAAAATATTTAATTCTGAGCAATTTTGCCAAATTTTCTCCATCGTCCTGGCCATGCAGATAGTCAAAGGACAGGGAAGCCTGCCAGGGGAGGAAAGGATGAGATAACTGGGTTGGTTCAGTGCTGAAAAGAGAAGGCTTAAGGGAAACCTCATCACCATGTTCCAGTACTTAAAGGGTGGCTAAAGAGAAGAGAAAATTCCCTTTTTACAAAGAGTCACGTGGAAAAGATGAGGAATAATGGGTACAAATTACTCCTGGGGATATTCTAATTGGGCACAAGAAGAAAAATGTTCACTATGAGAACAGTTGGTGGTTGGAATAATCTTCCCAGGGAAGTGGTGGGTTCCCCAACATTGGACACTTTTAAGATTCAGCTGGTGCTGGGCAATCTCATCTAAGCCATTTTTCTGCCTAGAAAGGTTGAACCAGATGTTCCTTGAGGTCCCTTCCAATCTGGTATTCTATGGTTCTATGAAAAAGTGAGTGAGAGAGGGGGTGGAAATTTCAGGGGAGAAAAAGTATCCTAACATTTAATGCCTGACAGACACTTTTTTCCTTTGGTAAAAAGCATTAGACCCTAAGATTTGAGTCAGCAGGTGATCAGAGTTGGGCCATGATCCAATTAATTTATCGCTTCATATTTGCCTCCCAGGTAGCAAATTAAAGATACATGTTATCTCCCCTGAGTGCAGAAATCATCACTGGTCCTTGTGTAGGTCTCAAACAAATAAATAATGAGGACAACTCAAGTCTGGATCAGAGGCAGGAACTGACTGTGCCCCAGGGACCATGGGCTGCTGCCTCTCCCTTGGCCACATCATATATCATTGTGTCTTCTTTGTGGTGTTTCTATCTTTATTACTGTTGTCATTGTTTATGGCTTTATTGCTGTTGTCATATTTAAAATATTCATATTGTAGATTCATACATCATACTTTAGATTCATACCTCCAAAAAGCAGCCAAGTAAAGTTAGGGTATGAATTAAATATGCTGTACAATAACCAGTCTTGTATGTTTGCAAACCCAACCACCACCATCTTTCCTGGAATGTCTATAAACAAAGTAGTCGTGTACCTGCTGATCTAAATTTTGCTCTATGGGAAGAACTATGTTCTCCTTACATCAGCTTCATATAAAATCTGCTTCAGGTGAAGCAAAAGGGCTTGGGAAGTGCCCTGACTCCTTGTTTATCTCCACTGGCTGCTCAACCAATACAGATGCCAGAGTTGCAGGTGTTTAAAATTAACTGAGAGGAATCACCCCTTATTGTTTCTTTTTTTTTCTCTGCAAAACTTGAAGCAGGAAACTTGGGTGTCCTACAGAAGAGGTGTGAAGTAAATTAAAGTCTCCACACCACTCTGAGACTAGAACAACTGTGGTAGGATCTGCAGTTGTCTGCTGGCTGGTGTGTCTGTGGGCTTGATGGCTGGGAGAGGCTTCAGAGAGAAACTGGGTCTCCATACCCAGCTCCAGTGTGGTAGGGAAGATAATGTTTGACATAAAATAATAATTAAAAGTTCTTGAGAAAGATCTGTGGCTCCTGTGTTTAAACAGAGAGAGGTATGTAAAAACTGAATCTACATCCTTCACACTTTAAATTGGAATGATGGCAAAAATGCTCCAAGCCACAATATGTGTTAAATTCACATTCTGGGAAAGAAGAAATGGTTTAACTGTTTAATTTTACTTTGTTGTTTTTTTTTCTTCTTAGGGCTTATGCTATTGCTGATGGAGACTAAAATTTTATTTTAGGCACTGAATTTTCAGCTGTTGTCTCACCTGGAAGTATCCTTCCTTCCAGGGCAGTGGATGCAATTGCTGAGGTCCTTTGTTATTTTCCCCCAGCCAAACTCAAGCATTAAATATTACAAAATCAGTTTCCAACTTGTTATTTTGCTAGACAAACGGGCCTTTGTTGCTCTTGCCCTTTCTCTTCAGTATATGCAGGAGAGCTTGCCAGAACACAAAGTACTCTCCAGTGACACAGCACATTAATTCCAACGAGAGCAACAATTCCTTATACATATTTTATGGCAAACAAATGAACTAATAAAATTTTTATACACTGCATGCTGTGAAGTCGTATTACAATTCAAGGATGTCTTTGGCCCACGTAGCCCAGCAGCTTATTCGAACATCACCAGCTTTGTCAGCTCAGCCAGAGTTTTACCCTACAAATGAAGTGGTGAAGCCCTGAATTGCTGCAGAGGTGGACACCTCTGAGTACCATGTATTTAATCATGATCCTGTATTTTCCAGCCCAGCTCAGCCTAGGTGGTTCCATTGCTCACTATTGCACAGGACTTTTCCTAAAGATTACATGGCTGTGCAGGACTGGTGACTGGCTCCAAGTATTGTCACTGAATATGGTACAGGGAATGTGGGTTGGCAGTTATGCTGATGCAAACTGTCACATTTCTGCTGCCATCTTTATGGCAACCAGCTGCATCTGCTTTACAGAAACCTCATGTCTCTGAATTCTATCCTACTTGCTATTTTTTCATTTTAATGCAACACTAGTAGATATTTTGGTGTGTATTAGGCATTTTTAGAGGCCATTAACTCTTCATAAGCATAAAGAATGTAGCCATTGGCCGTGATGGGCCTGAGTCAGCCAGTTAGTGTGCTCAGAATGGAAATTGTTTCCAATTTCTTTTCCACCTGTGCATAAATGTTTAGCTCCAGGCATTTCAACCCTTCTTGGAAGACTGAATAACTTGAAAGATTCTTTATCTCTGCATTCGTCTCTTCTTTGAAAATGACTTTCAGAAGTGACAGATAAAACACCTGCACAGCCCTAAAAATGTCATTTTTAGGGGTTGAAATCTGTACATGAGGAAGCCTAGAGACATCAAGATGCAGCATCCTCAATAACCAGACATCTCTCCTGGACTGTTTGCCTGCAGCAACCTCCGACTGCTCGGCCATGTGGCAATGCATCAGGGTGCCAGCATTGTCATTTGGTTTGTGTATGTCTGTGTTTGCAGGGACTACTACATCACCATGGTGAAATGGGCAACCAGTACCAAGGTGGCAGTGAACTGGCTGAACAGGGCCCAGAACGTGTCTATCCTGACACTGTGTGATGCCACCACAGGAGTCTGCACAAAGGTAGGAGAGATGAGCCCAATGGTCACTTAGATATAATCCACACAAGGAGGAAGTATTTCAGCTATCTTACCTGGCAACAAGTCAGGAGGCACAAATTTATTTAGGCAGACATAGAATCTCAACAATGTTTGCAATATTTATTTTTTTTTCCTCTTTACACTTTCTAAAATGCCAGGGATGTTATGTCCCTGCTCATACTGTGTGTGTGTGTGAGAGCAGCTACTGCTCTTGAAATAACTATAACATGCACAAGCACTCACACATCAGCTGTTTGCAATCCAAATATCTTTGCAACATTCTACTTTAATGGCATGATATGTATTTAATGGCTTTTAAATTGGCTCATGCTCATCTACCACAATCCATTTTAGTTAGTTCATGCCTTCTCTAGACTTCCTAATATAAACAGTGTATTGATATAACCTGATTAAGTACTAGGGAATACCATCTTTTAAAGTGTCATAGATGTTTCCACAGTAGAAAAGTGTTTTGATATACCTGTCCCTTGAAAAAAACTATGCAATACTATGCATAGAGCCCAGTGCAGAATCTTAATTTTTATTTCCACCTCTATTTGCTTCTTTTGGGCATAATATGTCTTGTGGATGTATGTGTTTTGTCTTTATGAATAAAAGGTTTTCTTGAATGAGTGCATGCTTCTTCATCAGAGCAGAAAGACAAGGGGAGCAGGCACTGGATGGTACTCCTGAAGCACATATTTAGGGCAATTTCTTTGTGCTTCTGGATGACTTTCCAGATTAAATCCAACTGCTTCCTGCATTGATAAGTAAAATGTGATAGATACAAAGTATGGTATTTAATGATCTTGTTTTGTTTTAGAAACATGAAGATGAAAGTGAAGGATGGCTGCACAGGCAGGTAATGCTGGTCTTCTCTTTGTGGTCAAGTTTTGGTAGGTTTTTTTCTTTGTTTCTTTTTACCCCCAAGAGGAAAAACTGATTTCCAGAGATGAGAAAGATACTTGGAAAATGGCATAGTTTGTATTGCAGAAAACAATTTCCCAGTAATAAACAAGTTCTTATTGAAGATGCCATCTTCTGTGGTAGAACCCACAATTCATAGTCAGGAGTTTACTTGGATTTAAAAGAGGCAAAAAGCTGATGCAGGTGGAAATTCGCTCACTGACAGTATCTGTGTGAGACTTGTCAGCCTCAGATAGTTCTTCATACCCTATGTCAAGATTGAGGATGATTTTAAGCAGTATGGTGGTTGGTCTTCATTGAAAGCACTTGTGTCAATGGAGAGACAAAATCATGCAAATAAGACTTTTAAGTCATTTAAGCTTCCACGGAGCACAGAATGAGGAGGAACTACCTGACACAGTTTAAGATCCTGTTTTAACAGACAACTGTATCACATATTTCCTCTGACACTCCAGCACATACTATCACACTGTATTTTTTTTCAGATCAGGATATTTTTTTGACTTATATGTATATAAAACCTCTAGATTTCCAGCACGTAAATCTCTGGAAGATCATATATAACACTTCCTCACCAGTCAGTTTGAGAAGTGATCTCAGATTTGATTAAGTTGTTCTTGAGAGAGGAGCTGCTGATACCAGTTCAGCCACAACACTGAACTGTTTTTCATGGAATATGTGAACACCAGACAGGGAATCACATGTCAGATAAATATATTGTACTATATTCATCCAAGTCCAGATTTAAAGCATTTCACATTTTTGTCACAGCTTGTTCAGAGAATCCAAGAACCTGTAGAAAATTCAGTACCTCAATTCACAGCAAGAACAATGATCGCCTCTGTTCCACTGGCTGTAGGACAGCACTGGGCTAAGTCTGATCCACATAGAAAATGATTATGCAGAGGAAATATATTTTATGGTCCAAGCATTTCAAATAATCTTTTGCTGCTATACTCAGGTATAGAGTAAAAATGCTGCTGAAGTATTATTTACATTTTATAAGGGCAGTATTGGCTTGGGTAGAAGCCTTAAAGACAAAGTAAGTCAAGAGAAAATTGCCCATATTTTCTATCTTTAAAAAAAAACCAACAAGAAAATACTTCAAAAGATTAATTTCTTTTATAAATCCAATAATAATACTTCCACTGCTGTTTACTGGGACTGTCATTAATGTAGTGCAGTAGCACCTGTGATTTTACACTGCTGTGGTTCCTTACTCATTTCCCTACTATATGGACCAGCATTAAGAGATAGTGCATTAAAAGATGGTGTTTTGTCCAGCATAACTGTAGTAAACATCTTCCAGGTTCTAATGGCATCGGTCCAGGGAAATATAGTTTGTTTTACTGCACCTCAAAATTTCAGATACTTAGTTTATGGTTAGAGAAGGATGTTCATTACAGCCAAATGAGTCAGACATCTCAGCACTGAACTAAGATAACATTTGCTATGGACGTTGGAGACATTTGCTAACACTCTTCCACAGCTTTTGTAAGAATCTGAATTGCAGACCTCTTTTGCCTACTTTTCTGACAACAAAATTACTTAAAATTCTAGTTTTGACTGCATGTATGATTACTAGGAAAACTGTATTTCTGTGTTTACCTTTTACACTAAGACACATTCATCTAGATAACTGGAAAGTTATTTTCATGCCACGTGTGTCTGACTATGATGTGAAAATGTTAAATAATGGTGCAAGTCCCCTAACCTCTTTAAGGAGGAGATGAATTGCATGTTAGGCAGCTACGGAAGGAGCTCAGGAGTGTGACTGAACTCAGAATGAAGACTCCTTGGTTTAGACATTCTAATATAGGTGTAGGCATATGAGCCAGGTGCCCAGTTCTCTACTGCAGTCAGCCAGTATGGTGACCAGTGTGGTCACAGAGCATGGATCTTGAGCATGATTCAGCCTTCCCTGAAGAAGACATCCACTGCCTCATTGGCCAACTTGTTCTATGTGCTCCATGGACCATTTTTTTGAGAAGTACCCCCATTTTAAATCAATAGGACTGAGAAATCTAACTGCTTGACTCATTCTTTAAAATACTCATTCAAAGTACTCCCTATGCCTGGCTTGAAAACCATACAAGAACTTTACCTGTTTTCTTGGGAGTTTGAGTACATCTGATCTTCCTGGAATAGGGGCAACTTCACAGTAGGCTGGGAGCAGGAGACAAGGATTAAAAACCATCAGTATCAGAAGATACTCACCAGAGACATGAGGGAGACTCCAAGGATGACAGGGCTGATTTTTTCAGCTCTTTGAAATAGGGGGAGTTCTGAGATAGGGCATGTGAGCCATAGATTTGAATATTGTTGTTGTAGTAATATTTCACTGAGATTTAATAGTTTGTATAGAAGGTCATGGTAAATGGTCTTGTGTTCTCTTCTGGGCTCATTAATACATTTTACTCAAGTTCAAAAACGTAGGAGAGCCTTCCAGAGCCTCTCCAACACAGGCAAAGAGAAATACTGGTGTCACTGTCTCTGTAGCTGAAAAACAGGATAAATTGCTCAGAGTACAGTGAGAAATATGCAGTATTTGTAGAGATGTCAGATGGTATGACCAGAATTTTCAAACTTTTTGCTCAAATAAGAACAGGGAAATATTCACTGAAGCTGCCTTGGGATTTTGGAAATTTTTACTGCTTTTATTCATATGTATGCTTGTGCACTTCTGAGCATAAAAGCCAGGCTGAACTTTACTCATACTTCTGCTTAAATATACAAATAATTCAAATCAGTAATTATAGCTGTAAACAATTTTGTGAAGAAGCCATTTCACAATAGTGCCAGTGATGGTCATATTCAGACAGTGAGGCAGCAAGGGATAAACAAGACAATTTCTGAGAACCTGCTGAAGAACACCTTTGGTGACATTTTAATTGGCTTATTTATTTAATTGGGAATGTGCCTGAACAAATTGAATTATAAAACAGGGTGTTATTCCAACTCCACCAAAGGCTGTGGGCTTTGACATTGACGTTGACATTGACACTGACATTGACAGGAGATGACAACAAAGTTGTTTAGAGACATAAAACCTCCAAAACTACCTGTGTAGGCTGGCTGGCCACCCCGGTAATAGTTTATTTGGGCTGAGCTCTGCTTTTCGGTTCTCCTGTTTCCCAGGGATTTCAGTCTGAAAATGAGGGCTTCTGCTCTGTCAGAAGGTTGAGATGCTGAAAACCTCACAGTATTTTTCTTTTACAACTCCCTTGTCTTAGACCTGACAGCATGATTACCCAGTAATGATTCTCTTATACAGTTAATAGACAGTATGAAATAAGATTATTTTAAGTAAAAACAACTCAGAAAACCTTATAAACAGGACTTTTTCACCCACCCTGTAAAGCCCTTTTGTCAAGTAACAACACCATAGCTGACCTAATGTTGCCCTAAAGACAAAGGATGCAGCAGAAATAGGACCCAAAACCCCCATTATTCAAATACCCAAATTCATCTGCCAGAGCTGACAAAGTAGCTTCTGACTATAGAGTCTTTGCCACTTAAATGAGGAGTCCTGGTTTCATCCAGTGGAGGCAATTGGTACCCAGGGTCATGGGCTCCTCTCCTCTCCAGTTGATGACCCTGTATTTTGGTGCAGGTGCCCTGGCTTCAGAGCTGGCCATTGGTGTGGTGCACCCAGCCACAGCTGAACATGGGGGCAGAGGTGGAAGGTGAAGCTCAGCATTGTCCCTGAGGCTAAGTGTGGCAGGGGATGGAAAAAGATCTTCCCCCTGTGCCCAAAGGAGAAGGTGACTTCATTGTCACAGTAATGCCAATGTACATTTATAACACTTTCTTGGATTTTAGTGACCTGTTTGCCCAAATGCAAAGACTTAAAAGGATTTATGTCACATATCTCTATATCAAAGCTATTGGCCTGTGACACTGAAATATCGGGATATTTCCCTGAGGGAATAAAAACCTACAGAGCAAAATCAAGAATTCTGGGATACGTGAAAGTGGATCAGACAGAGAGAGCAAGAGGCTGTGCTGAGGAAGGGAAAAGGCATCAGAGGAGAGATTGGAGAGGATTTGGTTATTCAGTGTAATTGATTTCCTTTTTAAAACTCGAGGATGAACCAGAAAAAGGTAATTCTCATGACAGTATAATTCTCAGTCAGTGATAAAACCAAATTTCAAAGACTCACTTTTGTCTGTTATATCTGTGAGGATACCTGTGGAGTCCAACCAAAAGTGTGCAAAACACTCTACTCTAGAAGAGTAGGAAGCAGGGAGTGTGTTGAACCATGGAAGCACAGGCAGGCCAGGTTGGAGCTGCAACCTGTGGTGCTACAATATGATGAGTGTACAATATGATGATTTATCCAGGTCAATGTGCAAGTGGTTTTGGTGGTGCTGTACATATGGGTACACATGGCTTTCACACTCTCCAACTTACCATAAAGGGGGTAATTTCTCTTTCAAATGTTTGTCCCAGTGCAAATCATGCAAGTCCTCAAGGTCAGAGACACTTGAGCACTCCCAGCCGTGCTGCAGGTGCCTTACCTTTCCTTCTTTCACTGCTGGAGTCTTCCTCGAGTGGCTGGAGATCCACTGATGCTCTCCAAACACAATTTAATACATTCTACCTTTTTTTTGTTAAATGTTTATTCCTTATTCCAGGATTTCTAGGACCTACAGAAGCTCAGACTGTCTTTAGCATTGTCCTCTCGTTTATCCTGATTCTGCCAAACTCTGAGGAACTCCTTGGGTTCATCTCCTGACCATTTGCAGATACACAGACATGTGTTGTGCAACTCTGAACTCCAGCCCTGATCCCTGCAGGAGTCACAGTGACCTCCAGCAGCCTCGCATCACATTATCTTTTCCACCAAAGCTGGAGTTTTTGGTGGCATCATTTTGATACACAGCCATAGACAGGTGGCTGGAAACAAAGTTGCTGCCTCTTTCTTTTACTGATAGCAATTAAGGTTGGTTCATCCCACCAATTCCTTCTCCAGCCACAGGATCATTCTTTGTTTATTGATTATTCCTTCAACTCTGAGGATGACTGGGTAGTCCTCAGCTCCCACCACCTATTTCATTCCTCCTCCACCTTGGGGACAATTGCCCATTGCAGCTGAGAAACTCTGGGTAGATCTTCTTCCTGAACCTGATCTGCTTCCTGTTCACACAGACCCCAAAAAGGCAAATGGGATGAGGGACCCACATTTACTGAGTCAGATTTAACCTTCCATTTAAGCTGCTGTGGAATCACACAACAGTTACTTTTTGCCCCTGAGTCTGAGAGCACTGAGTTATTGCTACGTGTAGCTTTGTCCTTCATTGGCCCAAAGCAGAGGATTTCTGGAAACTGACCTTCACAGTTTGGGTAGAATCCATTTATCTAAATACAGAGATCTGCCTGAGCAAAAAGACAAGAAGAGCCATAAAGACCTAAGAAGTGCCCTGCTGAGCCTCTGCTCCATCACTCAACCAGTCCAGCAGCTGATGGTATCTCAGGAATAATAAAAATATCATAGACATTTGAGACTATATCCCTATTCCCTTAGGATCTGTTAATGACTCGTGTCATCGTGTTTGTTAATCCCTTTTTGCACCTTCTGATACCAGCTGCTTCCATAAGTCTCCTGGAGAAAAACTCCCAGAAATTCCCTACCTGCTGCATAAGAAAAGTTTTGTTTTTGTTTTTGTTTTTTTTACCAGCATTAAACTGATTTCCTATTCTTTTAAAGGAGGGGCTCTTCTGTTCTAGTGCTGTGAGACTCAGTCAGTAATAGTCAACTTGAACTGGCTTGATCTGTTTGGATCACATGCAGAATATTCTGATTACATGCTCAGTGGAGCTCTCTACAGTATAAAACCCTGTTCCAAAAGACTTCCAGCCTTATGTCCCCCCCCCAGTTGCCATCCAGGATAACCCACCATCCCTGTCAAGATCTTAAACAACATTCTAGTATTAATGTATTAATGCATTGTCTTCCCAGCAACAGGAACATGCAAACAGACTGTCTCATAACATCAGTCAAGTGCTAAAGCCTCACATCTGTCATCTGTGCTGGGTACCTCCTTCCCCTGTAACTGAATGAAACTAAAACTAATCTGCACAATTCCTGCTTCCCCTGGCAGAGAGATATTGCTGGAATATATAATGCAGCAGACACAGATATAGAAATGTAAGGTGGACTCATTGCTATTTACCTCAGTAAAGGAAAACCTGCCAAGCAGAAGGTTTACCCAAGTTATCAGAGTTGTTTTTCAATGAGTTTTCCCCTGTCATGAAAGGCATTTGGAAATAATAGAGGGTTTTGTGTTTCAGGTTCCAGAACAATGTCAGAAACAAATGAAACCATTATTTCATAGAGCTGCAACAAACTGTAAACGGGTGTAGTTTAAAATATACTGAAAAGCTAAGCAGGGGAAAATAAAAGGAAAAACAAACAGTTTGAACATGTAATACAGTGCTGATAACTCTGATAAATGGTGGAGAAGAATTAATCAGAAAAGAACTGGAAGGAAAGGAACATACAGTAAGAATAATGTGTTAGCTTATGAGAAATAAAAATGCTTGTTTCTTTGCTGTAGGTGTTTGCATTATCCACAAGTCTCCCAGTACAACCAAATTCTTACTGGTTCAGTGAGGTATATTGACACATGCAGAGCAGAAAGTTGGAGTGTTAAATAAACACTAAGCCAAAGAAGGACCCAGAAGAGGCTGAGCAACAGTGTTCCTGTTGACTGTCCGTGAAGAAGAAGGAGCCACAAAGGTGGGCCAGGGCAGGCAGGGCTCAGCCAATCCCCAGGAAGGGCCGATATCACAGGAGTGGTTG